TCACTGACTGACCCTCTCAAAGGTGCTCTCACTGACTGACCCTCACAGCGCTGAGAACGTCAGGGAGGGAAAACTGAGGTGTAACATGAAATGGCCTTTCCAAGAGTGGGAAGGGAATTGATGTTAGAACAATAAAGGACCAAATATCTGAGGGCAACAAGCACTTACGTCCTCAGGAGTGGGCTGCATAAACTGATGAGACCTCCAAACTCCTGGTTCGGGGTATAATGATTCTGTCCTTCTTACTTCTCTTCACATTTACTCCTGGATCTCATTTAACATGTTCAGAGTTTAAAACAAGATGAGTATAAAGGGACACATGAATAGGCAGGAAGAGGGATGGGGATGTTGCCCTTTTCTCAGCTGTAATTTGACTATTTTTCACAAAAACTTTTTCTGTTTTGGAACAGAATTGCTCTAAACATTTGGTCAAACAATGAAATTTCATTTTGCATATAAATATTGCAAAAATTTAGTCTTAATTTTGGTAACCACTTGGTATCCATTTCATCAGCACAGCCACAAACTGAGTCACTTTAAACAGTCGTACAAGTGAGTGTGTACCCAAAGTAAATGGGAATTTGGGCCCATGGGAAGGAGTGAACAGGACTGAATTGTTTCACATGCAGATCTTTTAGCTGTATCCTATTTGATGAAATACAATCATTGCCATTAACATTTTTACAACCATCTTTATATAAATGTACTTACAAATAATTTCCCCAAATTTATTGTATTCTAAGGTTACTTCCTCAAGACAGATGTAGTGCTCTTTCTATTAGATACTAAATACAGGAAATGCAGCAGTAGTGAAAGGTAATATACTGATTTTTTAAATCAATCCCAGCAGTAAGTCATGGCATTATGTGTTTGATTTCTGAATTGAGTCTGATTGATATTCTGTGAATTAAGCTTTTTTTTTTCTTTTTTTAAATCAAAATGTTAGGCCTCAATTGACAACAGTATTTTGGAACTATTACATAGAAACACTTGTGGAATTTGCAATTTTTGAATCACAATAATGTAAAAATGTTTTCTGCTATTTGATAAATTTGAGTTTGCTAGTGAAACCATAAAGGTTTAATTAGCTCTTTGTGGTTTTGTCCTTTCTCTCTCCTCCTATCCACCCCAAGAGATTTATAGGGGCTTTTCATTGACATAATTAGCATGAATCTGTTTTATTGGGTTACATATATGCAGGAAGATATTTTTAACTGAAAGGAGCCAAAAAAACCATGATAGAAACAAATGGTGTCTGCAGGATATTGTTAGCAGGGGCACTAATTAAAATGCTCAAAAGGCAGAGAACACAAACACCTACAACCCGAAGCTCACAATTGCAGGGTGATTTTCAGTGGGTTCTTTGAAGACCCAGAAACATTGTTTGAATAGGATTTGTTGTGCTGAAGAGCTGATGTTTTCTCTTCTCTCCCAGGAGCCCCTGAGGCGCCAACCAATGTCTGTCTCATGGTAACAAGCAGCACATCACTCACTGTCACCTTCCAAGAACCTCTGAGTGTCAACTCAGCTGTGGTGACCAAGTATAAAGGTACTGGATTTAGACATCTTTCATTTGCCTTAACAATGTACAAAAATTGGAGGGTTAAGTATTTATCTACAAGGGATTATATTACAATGCAAGTAATGGTGGAATTTATTTTCCCAGTAAATAGCCATAGAAGTGGAATTTTCTTACAAGATTCCCCAAAGACAAGATTTTTTTATTAAAAAAAAAAAAAAAAGAAAAATAAATTAACCAAAAGCTTTCTCCAGGAGTGCTTTGAAGGAGTTTGCTTGACTCCCTGTGGTTAGGACATCAGCTCAATGACTGGGTTGAGATGAGCAGTTACAAAACACAAACTAACTTTTGGTGCCTGTGGGCTCCTGAAACCATGTGTATCCTTGCAAAAGCCAAACCCACACCACCATTCCTTAAAGGAATGCCTCTGGAAGCTGAAACTTTTGGCAGAGGCTTCATACAGCCCAGCTAATTAGCTATTCCAGGGCTGCCACATCATTCTTGGAAGAGCAATACATTTGGGGTGGCACCAGTTAGTTGCAAAGTAGAATGAATAAGAAAATGCTTCCATCTGAATAGCCCTGTTGAATAGAAATGGTTTTAAAACAGAATTTCTGTTCCACAGGAAATTCCAACATTAAGGAAAAAAAAAGTCTCATTGAAGATTAGAACAAAAATGAGAAATTTTAAAATTTCCTGTTTAAAGGAACTTCCAGGTTTTCTCAAATGTTTGGAACAGTGAGGTCTTCAGCGCTAAGCAAAGCAACCCACAACCTCCACCTTCCAAGTGGGAGCCCAAGTCAAGGGGTTGAGGATCTGAGGCCTTCTTTGCCCTGCCCAGGAGAGTCAGGAATGGGGACCCTGAAAGTCCTCTTAGTTATTTCCCCCCAGTTTCTCCCTTAATGCTTCCTGTTGTGTTTGTTTCTTCGTATTAATCACGAAAAACTCATTTTAGAGGTACTTGAACCTCAGATTTCCACAGCCACAGCAAGAACCCTCCTTGGCTGTGTGGTGGGGGAGTTTGTTCCATGTTTCCAGGGGGGGTGTCCCAGGGATTGTTTCAGCAGGAGAGATTCAGAAAGACCCAGAGCATCGAGGTCCAAAAGCTCGTGGAGCTCTTCCAAAGGTGGGACATGCCAGTGCACAGGCTCCACTGGCATCAAGCACAAAGCACCCAAAGGACTTATCTTGGAAAAGGCATATTCTCTTTCTTTCTCCTCCTGTTTCTGGTCAGAGACTCCAGTCATCCCTGGCTATGCCCAGCAAAATAATTTCCTACATTCTATGGAACAAACCCAACCACCCAGACACCACTGAAGCCATCAAAGTGATTCTATCCTTCAGCAGAAGGTAAATTACTGTATTACACCTAGTCAGCTGGGCAATGCTGCAGGAAGTGTGATTTTCAAAAACATCAAAGCCCTTTAGAAGCCTAAATCTAATTTTCAGCAATGGCTTGGGTTGCCAGGAAACTAAATTTCATTTAAGGGCTTCCTACTGCCTGATTTTCTTGTGAAAACAATACTTGGGCTCCTGAAACACCAAAGTTCTCCTGAAAATATCAGTCTGCTTTTTGTAATACACATATTGTAAACAACCTTGAAACACTGCCCACCCACCATTTATAGTGATTGTTGATATTTTCACAGGAAAGCAAATTTCCAAATAGAGCTAATTTTTAAAAATAACTGTCTAAGGTCTGTAGTATTTTTCTCTTGGTTATTCATTTGAGTTGAGTCTGGTTTGTACCATGTCAGTGCTGACCTCTTTTTGGTCAGCACCGCATTCAGAGAAATTTAATCCAACTTGACCTAACTTTCTAATCAGACCAGGTAGCACTGCCCTGTATTTTGAATTACCCTCACTGGTGATCATTTTATGCTTTATCAGGTTGACAGTTAGTCTTGCCAGAATGTTCTTTTTAAATCCATTATCCCAGGAGACTCGCATATTTATGGTTAGATAAAAAGGAAAGATCATTAATAGCTCCTTTTGGTGACTTTCGGGAATTAATTAAGCACTGGTTGTGGAATTGTTTATTACATTATGGAGTGAGATTCTTTGTGCTTAGTTTGAGAGGTCATAAAATGAACCTTTCAAATGATCATTTGCAAGAATGATTAGAACCAGCTAGCAATTACTAGCCCTGAAAGGGGAGCTTGATAACATTGTGTGAGGATCTTTTTAGTCAGATATATAAACCTCCTGTCCAGAAAACCATCGAAGCATTTTGCTAATTCAGGGGAAAAAGAAAAAAAAAGGCTTTTAAGGGTTTTTTCCTCTCAAAACTTTACCATTTCTTCTTCTAAGCAAATTAAGATTCAGGAGCATTTGCAGCAGCGTTTAGGGAATACCTGCTCATTAACAGAAGCTAATAATGTTCTTTTCTCTGGACCTGAACTATAGGGGATAAAAACTGACATCAATTCTGTTCAGTTTAGTTTAGTTCCCTGAAAACAGTGAGAAACTGCCAATTCCATTTTTTTTTCTGTGTCATCTTTTCTTTTCTTTTAATATATTTTTTCCAAAGCTGTATTTGCCCAAATGTCATTTAGAAACTGGGCTTGGAACGTTATCTAACTGTCTGCTGTTTTCCTGTGTGTGATCTTTTCCCTTGTTAGCTGTATGACTTACAAATAATAATACAGGAGAATAATACTTTGCACTCACTCTCTAACCACTAAAACCATCTCACTTCATTAGGAGATTTAATTTTAACCACACACAGTGAATGGGTATTGACTTTGGTGTCCCAGCTGGATGGCAGCTCAGTGACTGCATTCTGCTCAGCCATTGCTTTAAGGAGCCAGAATATTCTTTACTTCCTCTCCTGGATTGTTGTTTAATGTTGCAGGCACCATCCTAATGGCTCCCTTCAGCTTCCCTCAGGAGAAAGCTCCAGCGTGGTGGTGGCTGATGTGAAATGATTCCTAAGTATATTGTAACTTAGTAAAGTGTTTTGAGGCTGGAAGCAGACAGGCCCGACATAAATCAATAATAACAGTAATAATCTGCTCCATGCTGGAGAAAGACTCAAAGCCAGGGACACCTCAGCCCAGCCAGCTTTAGAGAGGATGTGAAGCATCACTGTAACACTAAGAAAAACCCCTGCCCTTGGCTAATGGTGCCCTGGAGCCAAACTTCACATCCCATCCTGGAGGTACTTACAGCTTTGGTTTTACATCTTTGACAACACAATCAAAATGTCCCAGGCCAACGTACAAAAGAACTTTGCCACAGTTTGAAGCTTTTTGTGAGCTTTCTGTTTACATCATCATATGGTTACTGCAGGAGCTGTTGTTATCCCAGAGCTACGCCACTGGAACCAGCTCCATGAAAAAAAATCCCACAGCAACATAATCCAGACAGACACCACTCGACTCCTGGGAACAGTCCCACTCGAGCCCAGTGGCAAGTGCTTGTAGGGCTTTTAAGGACTCTTGTCTTTCACTAATCAGCCTTTCTAGGGTTCACATGTTCCACACAAAGCAGCACCTTTTTTAGAGAGCAAAATTGTAAATAATTTAAGCAATTTTGTTGCACTTATTTTCTGTGCATTTTAAACACGGTTATTATTTTGTTTTTATGGTGAACAAGCACAGATAAACCTCCTCTTACTGCATTTTTTTCATCCATTTCCCATCAGAAGTAGTCATAATAATGCTGTGATCCCAAAGTGTAAGATAAGGGAGAAAAATGGACATAGTGCTGATCATTACCTACTGGAAAGGATCACTATGAAATGGAAAAATCTCTGTTTATACTTTATTTACAATTTTTAAACAAACATCTATATTCCCCTTTGGAGAAAAAAATGAAACAGCTTGTATAACCCGAGTTGAGCTAATTTATTTAAGAGCCTGGAACTATTTATGTTTGGAGAGAGAGGAAGAGACACATGTTTGATGTAGCAAACAGAGCTAATCTTCTTTCTGTTTGGATGTAGCTGCGGACTTGGATGCCAAGGTTTTTTCCAGATAATGATGCTAAGCTGTCTAGGCCAATTTAGCCCATGTTACCTTTTTGTTTAGTTTGGTATTTTAGCAGAATATTTCATGTTTGTCAAGACTGCCCAGCTTCCATCTAGGATTGCTTTTGGATGGAGAGAAGATTTTTTTATTTTCAGTCAGCGTAGCTCCTAGACAAAAAATGACACTGGCTTAGATCAGGAAAGAAGGAGTTATGTCTTGCTTAAATTTTGAGAAAAGGTCATTCCCTGCCTCCATTCTTCCAATGCAATTTCTGGTTCACTTCAGATTTTTTTTGCAGGAGAATAATTTAGATTGCCTTTAAATTACTAGTTCAGTCCTGGCTAGATGTGCAGTAGCCAAAGGATGTTGCTCTCACGCAGATGCATGAAGTGGGTTGGTTATAGTGCAGAACAGGCTGGTGCAATTTGGTGTTGTCAGTGGAATTCTCAGCTAAAGGAGCTGCCTTTGCACTCAGGATCAGCACCTGGGACCAGGGATGAGGGAGCCTGACCAGGCTGGGCCTGTTTGAGATCTGCTCTGCAGCTCAAAACAAACCTGTATTTGAGATTCTCAGTTGACTTCTCACCCTGTAAATGGAAAATTTCTGTTGAAAATTTCAGTGTGAAAAACCTCAAAAGATTTTACAAAAACTATCTACAAATTTTGTGTGATTCTGCATGTTTTCTTCTCAGGGGTAATCCTTTCCCAACCAAATAATCTCATCATTTTCCATGGGCTTCTGCTTGTCCCCATGAGCACCTAGAAACAGAATATACCATGTGTTTTGTAATTATGCATTTGATTTATCCATCAAAAGCTGACATTTCATGTTTGAAAAACATGGTGAGTTTTTTTCTGTGTCTCTCTAAGCAGATGCTGTGTCACTGCCTGATCCTGTTCCAGTCTGTGGTGGAACTGAGCATCATTCTGCACTCAACTTGGTCTTGAAACTCTTTTCACTTATTATTCAAAGTTTCTTTGTATATTTTGAAACTCATTCTTTCTTTCCTCAAAACAGTTCTTGCTCCATAAAAAGAGAATACATTTCTTTGTAAGACA